CAACGTTTATTTATTTTTGGGACAGAGAGAGACAGAGCATGAACGGGGGAGGGGCAGAGAGAGAGGGAGACACAGAATCGGAAACAGGCTCCAGGCTCTGAGCCATCAGCCCAGAGCCTGACGCGGGGCTCGAACTCCTGGACCGCGAGATCGTGACCTGGCTGAAGTCGGACGCTTAACCGACTGCGCCACCCAGGCGCCCCGGTAATTGAATCTTAAAAACAGTGTGATCCCATTTTAAAATGGTAAACATGGGTATAGATGTAGGGCCTACCTACATGGCAACATTGTTAATTGTGCAAGATTTTTTGCTACTGAGTTTCAGAATAGTGTCAGTGCTTCTCAGCATAAGTTTTGCCAATTACTCCCAATAAATAGGATTTGACATAGGAGTGTAATTCATTTACCATCTCTGGCCTAGAGAAATGGAATCATGTTCTGGAGTAAGGACAGTTTTATATCCTCTTTCTAGGATTTATTAGCTGTTTACCTGACACATTATTTAACTTATTTTTGTTTAAGCCTTTTAGCTTTACTCCTTTGCAAAACAGGAATATTACCAACTTGTCAGGGTTGTTTTGGGAATTAGTAATGACATATGTGTAGTATCCATACAGGCATTCAAGGTATAGAAGGTATTATTATTTTTTTAATTGAGATACAATTGACATTCTGTTGGTTTCAGTTGTATGATATCATGATTTGATATTCATATATATTGTGAAATGATTACCGCAATAAGTTTAGTTAACATCCATCACCATACATTGTTACAATATTTTTTTCTTATGAGAACTTTTAAGATTTACTCTCTTAGCAACAGCTTTCAAGTACACAACAGTATTGTTAACTATGGTAACCATGCTGTACATTATATTCCCGGGACTTTAACTGGACGTTTGTACCTTTTGACCACTGTTACCTAGTATGCCCACCCCCACAGCCCACCTCTGGCAACCACCGATCTGTTTTCTGATTCTATGAGTTTGTGTTCTTTTTGATTCTACCTGTAAGTGAGATTATACAGTATTTGTCTTTGTCTTTGTTTTTGACTATTACACTTAGCATATGCCCAGGTCATCCAACTTCATAAATGGCAGAATTTCTTCCTTTTTTTATGGCTGAATAATATTCCATTATATCAGACTTCTTTATATCCACTTATCTGTCACTGGATACTTAGGTTGTTTCCATGTATTGGCTACTGCAAATAATGCTGTAGTGAACATGAGTGTGGAAATAAATATCTTTTCAAGATAGTGATTTTATTTCTTTTGGATAAATACCCAGAAGTGGAATTGCCAGATCAAATGGTAGTTATATTTTGAATTTTTTAAGGAACCTTCATACTGTTTTTCATAGTGGCTCTGCTAATTTACATTCCCACCCACGGTGCATAAGGGTTCCCTTTGCATACTTGTCAACACTTATATGTTGTCTTCTTGACAATAGTCATTTTATTATGTGTGAGGTGATAGCTCATTGTGGTTTTGATTTTTGTTTCCCTGTTGATTAATGATGTTGAACACTGTTTCATATACCTGTTTGCCATTTGTATGTCTTCCTCGGCAAATGTCTTTTTCAATTCCTCTGCCTCTTCTTAGCTGCATTTTTATTTTTTGCGATTGTGAGTTTGTTTTGTTGTTTTGTTTTGTTTTTGTTTTGTTTTTATTTTAGAGAGAGCCAGCAGGGGAGATGGGCAGAGGGAGAAGAGACAGGGAGAGAGAGAATCATAAGCAGCTTCCTTGGCCAGCGTGGTGCCCTATGTGGGACTCAGTCTCACAACCGCAAGTTCTTGACCTGAGCCAAAGTAAGGAGTGGGACACCCAGGTGTCCCTGAATAAAGTCTTTATATGTATTAGATATTAACTCCTTATCAGATATTTGCAAACATCAGATGATTTGTAAATATTTTTTCCCATTCTGTAAGTTGTCTTTTCATTTTGTTGAATGTTTTTTTGTTGTTGTTTTACAGAAGCTTTTTAGTTTGATGTTGTCCCATTTCTTTATTTTTGTTTTTGTCGGCCTTTGCTCCTTCTAAAAAATTATCACCAAGACTCTTGTCAGAGAGCTTACTGCCTATGTTTTCTTCTAGGAGTTTTACGATTTCATATCTTATGTTGAGGTCTTTAATCAATTTTGAGTTGATTTTTGCATATGGTATAAAGATAGTAGTCCAGTTTTATGTCTTTTGCATATGACTGTCCAGTTTTCCCAGCACCATTTATTGAAGAGACTATCCTTCTCCCATTGCATATTCTTATCTTCTTCTTGGTAAATTAATTGACCATTTATGTTTGGGTTTGTTACTGGATTCTCTGTTGTGTTCCATTAATCTGTGTGTCTCTTGTTATGCCAATACCATAATGCTTTGATTATTATGCCTTTTTTATATGGTTTGAAGTATGAGGTCTTAAGCTTTGTTCTTATTGTGCAGGATGGCTTTGGATATTCAGGGTCTTTTGTGGTTCCATACAAATTTTGGGACTTTTCTAGTTCTGTGGGGAATGCCATTGGAATTTTTATAGGAATTGCACAGAATCTTTAGATTACTTTGAGTAGTATGGAAATTTTACCAATAATCTTCCAATCCATGGGCATGGATATCTTTTGATTTTCTTCAGTTTCTTTCATCAGTGTGGTATAGTTTTCAACATACAGGGCTTTCACCTCTTTGGTTAAATACATTCCTGGGTAGTGTATTCTTATTGATGACTTGTAAATGAGATTAATAGATTATTATTAGTATATTATTAGTGTATTAGCTTATTAATAGATTATTATTAGTGTATTAAAATGCAACAGATTTTTATATCTTGATTTTCTATCCTGCAACCTTACTGAATTCATTTATTAGCTCTAACAGTTTTTGATGGGATCTTATGTTCCATTAAGCTATGTTTATCTGTATTGATCTATCTCTTAATTTTAGGGGCAGTGGTTTACTTGGTCAATTTTCTGATGGATCTAAAAAGAGTTGTTGGTTTGTTCACTTTGTTTAGCTTTTTTCTTGTGAGGATGGGAGTGATGACTTTCAGAATCATCATGTACCAAACCAGGAACTAGAAATCTTGAGCATCTTTTCATACAATTATTGGCCATTTGGAGAAATGTCTATTCATATTCTTTGCTTCTAGATGGGAGTTACTTATAAGAGTTCTTTAAATATAGTCTAGATGCACGTCCCTTGTCAGATAATATGATTTGTAAAACTTCTCACATTATGTGAGTTGTCTTTTCACTTGCCTAATGGTATCCTTTGATTACAAAAGTTTTTTATTTTTTATGAAGTCCAGTTCTGTTTTTCCATTGTCACTTGTACTTACGGTGTCATGTAGAAACCATTGCCTAATCAGGGTCACAAAGGTTACACCTGTCCTTTCTTCTAAGAGTTTTATGTTGCTGTTAGTTTTTATATTTACGTCTTTGATCTGTTAATATTTTTTATGGTGTGAGGTAGTTGCCCAACTTTATTCTTTGGCATGTGAATATCCAGTTGTTCCAGCATCTTTGTTGAAATAACTTTGCTTTCCCCATTTAATTGTCTGGCACCCTTGTTGAAAATTAATTGAATGTAAATGTGAGGGTTGATTACTGGGCTTTCAGTTCTGTTCCATTGATCTATATGTTTATCGCATACCACAGTGTATTGATTCCACACTATTGATAGTGTAGCTTTGTGGTAAGTTCTGAAATTTGTAAGTATGAGGCCTTTGACTTCCTTCTTTTTTTTCCCCAAAGAGGATTTTGTCTATTCTGAGTCCTTTGAATTTATTACATGTGAATTTTAGGGTTAGTGTATTGCCCCTTACTTTTTTAATTTGGTGTTTTAAGTAAGAGGTAACTTGTACCTAGTTACAGTAGCTTTTAATAAGCAAGATGTATTGATATAATTTTTCTTAACCCTTTTGTTCCTTGGCTTTTGGCTTACGTGTTTGTTTATATGTACATTTTAATCTCATTGGATCTTCTCTGTAAGCAAGCAAAGGGCATAAGGAAAAATAAATAAAATAGTATTATTTTAGGTTAACAGAAAGTAATTTGAATCAGGGGACGGAATGGAAGAAATCTACAAAGGATTGTTCCTGAATTAGTGTTCTACTCTAATATCCCTTTTTGTTTTATTTCAACTATAGTATATCTAGTATTTTTAGACCATTCTTAAAATATGTAAATAGCCAAACACATCCCAGAATCCAACATGAATGATTTTTAAAATTATCTTGTAAAGGTTTGAGAGGTACTAGTTTCCAAAGGACACATTTTAATAGTTCCTATCCCTCCACCCCCTTTCTAACTGTATAAAAAATTGATATGGTAACAATAATTTATTCTTAAGTCAAGTTTTCTAAGATACCTAGTGAACTTTAATTTCTTTACACCTTGCTCTTTAATTGAAACTCATATAATCATTTTACCTAGTAAAGTTTTGCTCTTGTGTTCTTTAATTTTTTTTCTCCTGAAAGAGTGGCTATTATGTGTCTTTGTTACATGGGGCCATTAAATGCATTGATTCTCATATACGAGAATCAATTATGTGAATTGAGTGATCTGTGCCCTTTAAAAAAAAATACGTAGTTGCCTAGTCTCCATTTTACTGAGATCAGTTTGTTAGTGGTGTAATCCAGAATTTTCTTTAAAGGAAGCCCTGCAGGAGAATTGACAAGTAGGTTTGAGAACATTGCTGACTAAAGGTAAATTTTTGTAGACCTGCAGTGTATTAGGAGAAACAGAATCTAGAGGGTATTTGTATACATATATGGGGTAGGAGGAGGGAGGTAGGGTGCAAAGGGAGAGGGAGAGAGATTTATTATGAAGCAATTATGGAGTCTGAGAAGTCCCAGAATCTGCTATCTGCAACTTGGAGAGCCAGGAAGTTGGTGCTGTAATTCTGAGTCCAAGTCCAAAGGCCTGAGAACCAAGGGAACTAATGGTGTAAATCCCAGACTGAGGGCAAGAAAAGATGAGATGAGATGTCCCAGCTCATGTAGTGAGACATTAAAAAGGGATGAATAACTCTTTGCTCTGCATTTGTTCTTTTGAAACTCTCAAGAGATTGGGTGATGTCCACCTACATTGGGAAAGGCAGTCCGTTTTACTGAGTACACAGATTCAAATGCAAATCTCATCTGGAAACACCCTCAGACATACCCAGGAATAATATTTAATCTGGGTATCTCATGGCCAGTTAAGTTAATATATCACACTCAGTTAAAAAAATTAACCACCACATTCAGTTTTTACAGAACTGAATATTTTGGGGGCTCCTGGGTGGCTTAGTTGGTTAAGTGTCCAACTTTGGCTCAGGTCATGATCTCATGTTTCGTGAGTTCAAGCCCCACGTTGGGCTCTGTGGGGACAACTCAGAGCCTGGAGCCTGCTTTAGATTCTGTGTCTCCCTCTCCACTCACGCTGTCTCTCTTTCTCTCTCTCTCTTAAAAGTAAATAAACATATGGGCACCTGGGTGGCTCAGTCGGTTAAGCGTCTGACTTTGCTTCAGGTCATAATCTCAGGGTTTGTGAGTTTGAGCCTTGTGTCAGGCTCTGTGCCGACAGCTTGGACCCTGGAGCCTGCTTCAGATTCTGTGTCTCCCCCTCTCTGCCTCTCCCATTCTCATGCTGTCTCTCTCTGTCTCTCAATAATAAATAAATGTTAAAATATTTTAAAAGTAAATACATAAACATTAAAATTTTCTTTAATAAATTACTATATTTTTATTATAGTGAAACTTCAGTGTAATATAAAACTAGGTATTAATAATGTCTTATGTATATAGTTTTTATATAGCTGTAAAAGCAGTGTAAGTTTTCTAATAAAATACTCCCCCAAACTAGAAGACTACTAAAATTCAGATTATCATTATATTAGTAAAAGGAATGGTTTCCTACCTTCCTGTGTCATTTTCTTTGTATTTCGCAGAGTTTACATAGTTGGAGAAGGATTCCCAAGGGATTCTTATGTACCGTGTCTTATGTACTGTGTCATAGAACCCTTGCTCTATAGCATTAATTTTATCTTTATATACTTCATTGTTTTGCTTTATTAATATTTAATGATTTTATTTTGGATTTCCCCATTTAATTGCAGGTTCTTTTGAGGCTAGCCATACTTACTATTTTAGCATGTATTTGAGGTCCAAACTAATTTTATTTGAACTGCTTTTAAGTCTAATTGACTTAATGTGCAGTGATGCTGTTTGGCCTTCACATGGTATGGACCCATTTACAAATTAAGTCTGCTTTTCTTTTTCTCGGTTGTCTGCTACAGTTGAAATATTCTTACCTACTAGCATGATCATAATCACAAAGAGGCTTGGGCACTAAAATTGTGGGGCAGTATTCAGTTAAAAGATGTGTCATCATAATGATCTAGAATATTTATATATTGAATATCATTAAGAGAAAAATATAAAATTAAAAAACTCTCTTAGGAAACTTATGAATAGATTTCAAGAATGTAGCTGTTGTTTCTAGTTTTAGAAACACTGTTGTGAAAGTTTTTAAATACTGTTTTTGTTTTCTCTAAAGATCTGTATCTGGAATAAAGAAATTGATTTGGAATGGAGTTGGGGTTGTGGATGTTGTTAGGAAGGAATTTCAGGATCACTTAGCTATTTTCTTGCATCCTGAGCAAGATTACCATTTGTAAGACTATATGATGTTCTTTATGTGATTTTTGATGTATTCCTCCCCTTGATTCCCTGTGACATAATGTTCATTTTGGGTTGTTAGTTATATGCTGTCATGTTTGATTATTTTTTTCATTTGATAAATTGTCAGCTATTTTTCTTATAAGATTGTAACTCACTAAAGTGTATTGCAAGTGTATATTTAACAGGTGCGTAATGAATTGAACTGAACGAGCTCAACTAAGAAAAGCTATCATAAGTATTCATTAAAGGAGAATTAAATCATAGATCATTTACTTGTGAATTTGTTTAAAATTAAACTTGCTCTTCTGCCTTACTGGCTGTAATTCTAGGTATATATAAGACCACAAAGGTATCTCTCTGTGCTGCTAGTTTTTACCTTTGTATTTAGGCCAAATTGAATCCATGTATTTTTGTTCATCTCTGTTTTTCTTTGTTCATGAATCAGTATATTTTTGAAGTCAGTTTTTTTTTTTATAAATGCTTTATACATGAAGCTTTTCTGTAAAAAATTTCTAGCAAATTACTACTGTTACATGAAGATCAGAAGAGAGTTGGATTCCAATTGTCAATGCATTTAAAGTCCTGCCAGTTTAATGTTTTTCTGTATTTACTATTTGTCACTAAATATTAAGGTAATGATTCTTGATGTTTCTTTTTTTTTTTAAATAGATACGATGATGCTATACAACTGTATGATCGAATTTTACAAGAAGATCCAACTAACACTGTAAGTTAGCTGACTGTCTAAATTTTATTTTAAAAGGTGAAATTTATTCATTTTTGAAATAATGTGAAAATACATATGAAGCCAGGTTTTAGCTTCTTATTTTAAATAATTTATGTTGAGGGTGCCTGGGTGGCTCTGTCGGTTAAGTGTCCAACTCCTGAAATCGGCTCAGGTCCTGATCTTGTGGTTGTGGGATTGCATAGGGCTCTGTGCTGAGCATGGAGCCTTCTTGGGATTCTCCCTCTCCCTCTCTCTGCCCCTCCACCATTCACTTGCTTTCTCTCTCTCTTCCTAAATAAATAAACCTGAAAAAAAAATATATGTTGGACCACAGTTTTAAAATAGATTTAAAACTCTTCTGTAAAATTTGACTCATAAGATACCTTATTAAAAAGAAACTAGTGGAGGGACCCCTGAGTGGTTCAGTCAGTTAAGTGACTGACTTCGGCTCAGGTCATGATCTCACGGTTCCTGAGGTCGAGGACCATGTTGGGGTCTGCCCTGATAGCTAGGAACCTGCTTGGGATTCTCTGTCTCTCTCTACCCCTCCCTTGCTCTCTGTCTTTCTCTCTCTCTCTCTCAAAATAAATAAACTTAAAAAAAAAAAAAAAAGAAACTATTGGAAATTTAGAAAGAAAGAATTTTATGTGCTTGCAAAAAAGCCCAGCAGAGTTTAGTGGTTTTGTAATATTTTTAAGTTTATGATATACTAACTTGTTTTGTTTTAGTAGTTATATTTTAGTTGTCTCAATGAAAAATGAAGTCATGACAGTAATTGGTATATAGAATTAATAAAGGTGTTTTGTTTTTTTTTCGGCCTTATACCTGGATAAGAGTATATATATGTACGTATAACATACATGTATACATACATACACATAAAGAAGAAAAATATATTGTGTTTCCCATAAGATAACATCTTTAATTATCCTGATTTGAACAAATATATTAGTGTATTGTGCAGAGCATTTGTTCCAGATATACTTATGTAATGTTACTTGTTTTTAAAATACTCTGGTGAAGATTTTTTTAAATTTTGAGAACATTTTAGTTTACTATTTTTGCATAATGGCTTTCCTCAGACTTATCTTTTACTCAATGAAAAGTTAGAGAGATTTTAGATAACATATCAGGCATTTTAATTTTTTATTATGTCCATGCATACATATGCCTGCTAAAAGAAAATATTTTTAGAAATTTTGAACAAAAACCAGTTTGATGGGGCATCTGGATAGCTCAGTCGGTTGAGCGTCCAACTTTGGCTCAGGTCATGATCTCGTGGTTTTGGGAGTTTAAGCCCTACGTCGTGCTCTGTGCTGACGGCTCAGAGCCTGGAGCTGCTTCAGATTCTGTGTCCCCCTTTCTCTCCACCCCACCCCTGCTTGTGCTCTGTCTCTCTCTCTTTCAAAAATGAATAAACATAAAAAAATAAAAATAAAACAACCAAAAACCAGTTTGAGTTTGTTTTGTCCTTTTAGAGGAGGAGAAATTGTTATATTAACATAATACAAATACATGAAGGTTTTCTCTTTTTGGCAAGCATTTCATTCAAAATACACATTTTTGAAAAGTCATTTGATGTATGATTGTGGATTATAAGATGCAGAAATACTGAATATTAAACATTAGTTACTTGATATGTTTTAAGTAAATTATGCATGTTGGGGAATTATTTAATATTGAACTGTCCAATATTTAGTTAGCATTTATCTCAGGCATTCATTAGTCATAAACCCCCAATCTCTGCTATCTCTTCTGATACCCTGTAGTAATTCTTATGTTTGTTGCTTGAATGATAAGCTTTTTTCAACTTTATTGAGATTTAATTGACAACATTTCATAAGTTACACATGGTGGTAATATATATCTATGTAGTGAAATGGTTTAGATTTTTGCTGTTAATATTATCCCATCCCAGGGAAATTTTCTCTGGAAACTTCCTAGGGTTTTTTGGGAGGGGCTGGGGGAATGGAGTGTAGAGGTAGATATTTGAATGGCAAGGATGTATTATTTTATGAGGATTCTCAGCATATAGAAAGTTCAGGGAAAAGTTTTGACAGAGCTGCAAGCCTATCTGTTATTAAAAACAAAAACAGAGTTACTATTTATCTAGATATTTCCAATAAAAAGGGAGTTAAAATGGGAAAGTTTTGAATACTTTTTTTAATCTTAACTATCGTAATTACTTGCCACCTGTTTTAAGAAAATGGCACTGTTTTTCTTTCCTTACAGATTTTCTCATGTACTTATTTCAGTTATAAGACTTTACCACAGTTTCAAAGGTATTCATTTTTAATGCAGTCATATATTGAAAATACAAACTCACGTTTCTGAAAAGTTTCAAAACAATTTTTTTGATTAACAGTTAAAAATCAATAGCTTATAATTTAATTTCTTGGAATTATGGGTCAAACATTTTACTTATGTGTCATTTTAAGTGGGGGATATTTTTAATAAATTATTTCACTTTTTCAGGATTTAAGATAATATGTAATTATTTTTCTTTGTTTGTAGTACTTTCCATGTTCTATGGCTCTAAGACTGACTAAAAGAGATATCCAAATGGTTTTACTCGTAGACTATGTATGAGGGTGGTAGTAACTAAATCCCTTAGTTGCTAGGTAAGCACTTTAGAACAAAGTAACTAAATTCAGCTTTGCTTAAATGTATTATTTTTTCATTAAATATTATCTTTATCTAACGTCCCCTTGGTCCCTTCTGTCCTTCTGTAAATGTTTATTGAGTACCTGTCATGAACCACCAGAATGTTGGTGTTACTAAGAATAAAGACCGTTTCTGTTTATGTATCCATAGAAAGCACTGTGGTAGACACTGAGGGAGATAACAAAACCATGAAAGACCTAGAACTAATTAAGTCTAGTACGGGAAGACTTTATTTGTATTAAACAGTTAAGTGGCAGTGTAAAAGACTTCACAGTTTCTTTTTTGAAAGCAGCTTTAATGTATGACCTTAAATGTGGGAAAATCTGGTTTCATCCTCATCCATAGTTATAATTCAAGCTTTTACACTGTAGTTCTTCTTTGCATTGTCTAAAAGTGATCATATGACTCTTTCATTGGTCTTGTGCCTCTGTTCCTAGATATCCAGTATAGAAATTAGCTTGTTCAGTCAAGCTTTAAGGAGCTCTCCTTCCCTCTCACATGCATTCATTAATCTTTCTTTTTTTTTTATTTTTTTTTTAATGTTTATTTACTTTTGAGAGAGAGAGACAGACAGACAGAGAGAGCATGAGCTGGGGAGGGGCAGAGAGAGAGGAAGACACAGAATCCGAAGCAGGCTCCAGCCTCTCAGCTGTCAGCACTGAGCCCAACATGGGGCTCAAACTCATGAACTGCAAGATCATGACCTGAGTTGAAGTCAGATGCTTAACCAACTGAGCCACCCAGGAGCCCTGCATTCATTAATCTTTCAAAAAATATTTGTTGAGTGCCTGCAGTATGCTTGGTGCTGGGAATAGAAGAACAAATTAGACACCCGCTTGACTTTGCACTTAGGGATGCAGAGTGATATGAACAGATTGTGGACTTTGACAATAGACTATTAAATTCGTATTCTTTAGTGACTTGCTGGGTGATTTTTTTGAGCCTTGCAGTCTTTGAAGAATGAGTGTGGTTGAAATGAAGCAAAGATGATGGGCTGGGGAAAGTCCTCATATCTTATGAATGAAGCCTTCACACTGTTAAAGTACAAAGTTTACCGAGGAAAGAAAGAAAAAAGTGATTAGAAAGGAAGTTTTCAATTTTCTTCTGGGAGGGTGCTAAAATTTATTTTTCTCCCATCTATGTTTTAAAATTTGTTAAATTTTTTTTTGAAGATGTAAAACCTACCCATGTTTAAAACTACAAACAATACAAAAGAATATATGGTGAAAACTAAGTCTTTCCTCTTACCCCTGATCTCAAGTCCTCCTTCACTTAGGGAAACATTGTTAACATTTCTAATGTATTCTTCCAGAGACTTTTTCCTTGTGAACACACATGCATGTATGCATGAGTGTATCCCTTTTGATAGAGTGATTTGAAATGCAGATTATGGCATACTCTACTTCACAACACAGTGTAAAGATCATTCTATATATCAGCACATCCTTTACATCATCCTTTGATTAGCTACATAGCATTTTGTTGTATGATGTATTGTCCCTGTCTTGAAAAACAGTTTTAAGTTAAATTAAAACAGTTTGATGAACCCTTGGGTTGATTCTGATATCTTTCTCCCAGGAACAGTGTTGCAGTGAATGTCATTTGTAGGATGGATTCCTACTCTGCAGTCTAAGTCTGGAGGTCTATACATTTTAAACTTTGATAGGGGTGCCTGGATGGCTCTGTTGGTTGAGCAAATGACTTGATTTCGGCTCAGGTCAGGATGCCATGGTCCTGGTATTGAGCCCCGTGTCAGGCTCTACACTGAGCATGGAAACTGCTCCCTCTCTCTCTCTTTCTCTTTCTCTCTCTCTCTCTCTCCCTCTCCCTCCCTCCCCCCTCCTGCTTATGTGTGCACGTGTGCTCTCTGTAAAATAAAAAAAAAAATTGTTTGATAGATGTTGCCAAATTTCCTTCCACAAAGGCTTTTTAGCATCCTTATTCATTTCTCTGTTGTGTGAGAGTGCTTCTCCTGTATTCTCCCACATGGTATACACTATCAGCTTTTTGGTTTTTAACCTTTGCCAGCCTAATTGGTAAAAAATGTTATCTTGTTATAATTTGCATTATGAATGATGTTGGATCTTTTCATATACCTAAAAAGCCATTTGTACTTCTCTTTCTGAACTTCCTCCTTTAATACCTTTTTTAGATGAAATTATATTTCTATTCTTATTGAAGAGAGGGCATGGTACTGTGCTCTACCTAGTTAACCTCTTTCTTCCACACTCATTGACCTCTGAGAAAAACTAGGGTTCTGAGGAACAATATTTTGTACCTCTGAATTGGTTCTTTGTACAGAGTGCCTGGAGATGCAGCAAGATGGCCTTATTTGT